CAGTGAAATGCTATTCATGTCCTTTTCCCATGTCCTAATTGGGTTGTTCTTTAACTGTTTATATATTCTTGATGCCCGTAGTCCTTTGTTCACATGTACTACCTCAGTACTTGCCTATGAATGGGAACACACAGTATTTGTCTGTTTCTGACTGGCTTAGATTGCTTAGTGTAGTGTCCCAAGATTCAGACATGCTGTACCACATACCAGAGTTTCCTTCTTTTTTAATACTAAGTGATATTGCATTGCAGGAATGCCTCACATCTTGCTCCCTCTTTCGTAGATGGGTGACTGGGGCAGTCAGTCTGTTGTCTCTTGTGAATACTGATGCTGTGCTTGGGAGTGTAAAACCCCTCTTTGTGAGTCTCCTTGAGTCTTCCAAATCTGTCCAGATGGGGAATCTCTGGACTACACAGTGCTGTGGTTTCTATAACCGCTCTCCCCAGGCCCATGTGTTAAAAGCTTGCTTCTGAGGGTGGCTCTATTGAGAGGGTATCTTAGTCACCTTTCTCTTGGTTTGATACAACACCGTGACCAAGGCAACTTAAAGAAGAAAGTTTATTTTAGCTTTGTGGTTTCAGAGGACTGGAGTCCATGATGGCAGGGAAGTGTGGCAGCAGGCAGCAGGCAGCAGGCATGGTGGCAGAAGGCTGTGGACTCAGTAGACAAAGCAGAGAGAGCAAACTGGAAATGGGGAGAGGCTTTAACTGCAAAGCCTGACGTCAGGGATGTGCTCCCTACAGCAAGACTACACCACCTAAACTTCTCCACTGGGGACCAAGTATTCAAATACCCAAGGCTGGGGACACGATGCGTTTCTTATTCAAACCATCACAGAGGGGATGGGTCCCTTAGGAGCCAGGCCTGGTGGAAGTTCTTCTGGGCGCTGGGACCTCTGCCTCTTCCTCTTCACTTTCGCTTCCTGGCTATGAGGTGAATAGCTTGCTCCCCACCATGGAACACACCCACCAGAGGTTCAAAGCAATGTGAGCACCTGATCTTGGATTGGAACTTACAGAAATATGAGTTAATAACATGTTCCTCGTCTAAGTTAATTCTCTCAGTTGTTTTGATAGCAATAATCAGCTTGTTAATACATACGGTAATTCTGGGTGAAGCTTTTAGAAACGGCCATACTCTTACACACCGCTATAGCAGCCCTGCATTTTATGTTCTGTGCCATTTTGCATTTATAAGTATTCTCCTCTTTTCAGCTCAAGCTATCTTCTGAGTTTACTGTTGTTTGTTTCGATGATGTGCCCCTAATGGGTATAGTGTGGGACAGCGTAGCATTTTAAGTGGCACTTCCCAAATGCCTTTTTGAGTCATTGAGCATGTTTCCATATTTTTATCCGTCATTTGCACATCTTTTGATAATTGCCTATTTAAGTCCTTTGCCCAATTTTATTGGATTCTTTTTTTTCTGATGTTGAGTTTTAAGAGTTCTCTACGTATTTTGAATATCAACTCTGATCAGGTGTATGATTTATAAATATCTGTTGTTTTGTGTCTTTCTTTTTTTTACCATGCCTGTAATATTTTTGATGTACAAATGTTAAAAAATTATAAATTATATAAAATGTAATTATATAAATTATAGTAATTATGATATATAATTACATAAAGTATAATTTTCTCATTTTTTTCTTTTAATTTCTGTGCCCTTTCTATCACATATAAGAAATCATTGCAAAAGGACACAGTCAACAAAACAAAATGACAGCCTACTAAATGGGAAAAGATCTTCACCAACCACACATCAGATAGAGGTCTGATCTCCAAAATATACAAAGAACTCAAGAAAATGATCATCAAAAGAACAAATAATCCAATTTAAAAATAGAGTACAGACCTAAACAGAGAACTCTTAACAGAGAAATCTAAAATGGCTGAAAGACACTTAAGGTATTGTTCAACATCCTTAGTCATCAGAGAAATGCAAATCAAAACAACTCTGAGATACCGTCTTACACCTGTAAGAATGGCCAAGATCAAAAACATTGATGACAACTTATGCTGGAGAGGTTGTGGGATAAGGAGAACACTTCTGCATTGCTGTTGGGAATGCAAGCTGGTCCAGCCCCTTTGGATGTCAGTGTGGCAATTTCTCAGAAAATTAAGAAATAACCTTCCTCAAGACCCAGCAATACCACTTTTGGGTATATATTCAAAGGATGCTCAATTGTGTCACAAGGACATGTGCTCAACTATGTTCATAGTAGCATTGTCTGTCATAGCCAGAGCCTTAATGCCCCTCAACCGAAGAATGGATAAGGAAAATGTGGTACATTTGCACAATGGAGTACTATACAGCAGAAATAATGACATCTCGAAGTTTGCAGGCAAATGGATGGAACTAGAAAATGTCATTTTGAGTGAGGTAACCCAGATCCAGAAAGACCATTATCATATGTACTCACTCATAAGTGGTTTTTAACATAAAGCAAAGAAAACCACCCTACAAATCACAATCCCAGAGAACCTAGACAACAATGAGGACATGATTCATACATACATAAGAGAGACATACATGAATCTAATCTACATGGGAAGTAGAAAAAGACAAGATCTCCTGAGTAAATTGGGAGCATGGGGACCATGGGAGAGGGTTGAAGGGGAGGGGAGAGGAAGAGAAGGGATCAAAGAAAATTATGTAGCTCAATAAAAAAAATTAATTAAAAAAAGAAATCATTGCAAAATCCAATCCAGTGTTTTCTTCCAAGAATTTTCAAGTTTTTAAACTAGATCTTTCTTTGGTCCATTTGAAGTTCATCACTTTTGCATATTGTGTTTGGTTAGGGTTCAATTTTACTGTTTTGCATGGGGACATCCAGTTTTCTCTGCCCCATTTGTTGGAAGGACTGTTTTTCCACAGTGAATGATCTTGGTATGGCTGTCAAAAGTCACTTAGCCATATATACATGGATCCTTTTTCCTGAGTTGTCAACTGAACTCTGTGTGAGGGCACGTGTGTGTGCTTGTGTGCATAGATGTGTGTATGTGTGTTGAGACAGGATCTCATCATGGAGCCCAGACTATTCTCAAGCTTGGAATCTTCCTGCATCAAGCACCCAAGTACTGGAGTTACACAGATGCATCACCACCCAATCGGGCTTCATTCCTTTTGAGACTGTTATGGATGGAGCTGCTCTGTAAATTCCATCACAGATTGCTCAATGTTAGCAGGTAGAAATGCCACTGAGTTCTGTGGAATTTTTTTTGTTTCCTAAGATTTTAAAGGATTCACCATTATATTGGGTTATGGGGGTTCCCATAATTTGTGTGCAGAGTTGTTTGTTTCTTTCTTCCTGATTTAGAGCCTTGTATTTCTTTTTCTTGCCTAATTAGTCTGCCTAGAGCTTTAAGTGCTCTTCTTAACAGAAGTACCAAGAGAAGAGACAGTAGTCTGATACTCCTGAATAGATTTGTTGTAGTTTCTCACATGAGCCTTTTATTATGTCAAGATAATCCCCTAATCCTAGCACTTGGGTTTTTTTTTAATATCATTAGAGAGTAGCTGGCAGTCTTATCCTAATTGAAATGATCATATAGTTGTTCTTTATTCTACTGATGTCTGAGAAATTTAATATGTTTATACCATTGCTGCTTTTTGAGGATTTCATACATGAGTACAACATTTACACAATTTTGACCCACGCTCTTCCTCTTTAGCGTCTCCCCTGTCCCCCCTCCCTGACAAAACATCATGATCTCTTAATTATTTAATAATTAACTAATCCTTTAATTAATTATTCTTGTTATTGCTCTCTTTATATATGTACATATACATACATACAATCCTACTTAATCCATTTAATGTTGCTTTGTGCATTCCAGAAACAAATTCCACCTAATCGTTGTTTAATCTTTATGATATACTACAGCATTTGACTTGCTAGCATCTTGTTGATTTTTTTATCTTCTTGGGTTTAGTTTGTATTGTAGTATTGGGAAAAAGAAGAGACTACCTTTATCTGCCTAAGAATCTGTATGTTTCAGAAAAACGAGAACACTGGGACACACACACACAGATGGGAGGGGACTGATTCTGGAGACTGGCTCACCTGATTACGGGACTACAAGCTAGAGATTCAAGAAGGCCCATAGTGCAGGATAATTCAGTATGAGTCAAATGCCTGAGAATCAGGCATTTCTTCCCTAAGACAAATGTTGTAAGAACCATTTGTTTGTTCCCTGCTGCCCAGCTCTGAAATAATCACACAGAAACTATATTATTTAAAACACTGCTTGGCCCATTAGCTCTAGCTTTTTGTTGTTGTTGTTGTTGTTGTTGTTTCGAGACAAGGTTTCTCTGTAGTTTTGGTACCTGCCTGGAACTAGCTCTTATAGACCAGGTTGGCCTCGAACTCACAGAAATCCACCTACTTCTGCCTCCCAAGTGCTGGAATTAAAGGCATGTGCCACCACTGCCCAGCTTAGCTCTAGCTTCTTATTGGCTAACTCTTAAGTCTTAATTTAACCCATTTCTAGTAATCTTTGTATCGCCATGTGACTGTGGCTTACCGGGTAAAGTTCCCAGCATCTGTCTCCAGCAGGGGCTACATGGCTTCTCTCTGACTCTGCCTTCTTTCTCCCAGCATTCAGTTTAGTTTTTCCTGCCTAGTTCTGTTCCCCTACAGCTCTGCTATAGGCCCAAAGCAGTTTCTTTATTGATCAGTGGTAATCACAGCATACAGAGGGGAATCCCACAACAGACAAAAGGCCCGAGAATCAGGACTGTCAGTGCCAGTGGTCAGGAGAAGATGACTGTCCCAGCTTAAGCAGAGAGACAGTTCAGGCCCTCGAGAGATGGGTGATGTCCATCTGTGGTGATGAAGGAACTTTACTCTGTTCACCAATTCAAATATTAAGGTCTTGCAGGAGCACTGTCAGGCACACCTTGGATGTTTTGCCATCTATAAGGGCATCCTCAATCACTCTGACACATAAAATTAGCCCTCCCATCTATAGTCTGTGCTAGACTCTAAAATAATCCTTACCTTTTTAGAGGCCTGAGTGTCAGCATGTTAAAAATGGTAGTACAATGAGCAAGATTTTGGTCTCAATTTACAATTTTCTGAGGATGAAATAAGATTTCTGAAATATAAAGAGTGACACCATTTGTAGCACCAAAATAAATCAATCTCTTGACCCTATACATGTACTGAAATGCTGTTGCTGGTGTAGTTTAAGGCCTCCTGGCAACTTCCACCAAGGAAGTAGGACATGGTGAGATAAGGGAAAGTTATTTTTTTTATTATCTTTTCCATTTACTTTACATACCAACAACAGTCAGTTTTCCCTCCCTCCTATTCTCCTGTTCCCTCTTCCCATGTCCTATCTACCCCACCCCCATCCACTCCTCCTCTGTTCTGAAAAGGACAGGCCTCCCATGGGAGTCAACCAAGCATGGCACTTCAAGTTGAGGCAGGACCAAGCTCCTACGCTAGCATCAAGGCTGGGCAAAGTATTCCAGCATGGAGAATAGTTCCAAAAAGCCAGCTTATGAGTCTGGGACAAGTCCTGATCCCACTGCTAGGGGTTCCAGAAACAGGCCAAGCTACACAACTGTCACCCACACACAGAGGACCTAGGTTTGTCCCATGCAGGCTCACTAGTTGTTGGTCCAGAGTCCGTGAGCTCCCACTAGCTCAGGTCAGTTGTGTCTCTGGGTGCTGCTGTCAGATCTTGATTTCCCTGGCTCATACAATCCCTCCTTCCTCTCTTCAACTGAATTCCTGGAGCTCAACCCAGTGCTTGACCATGGATCTCTGCATCTGCTTCCATAAATTACTGGATGAAGGCTCTCTGATAACAATTAGGGTGGTCACCAATCTGATTACAGGAGAAGATCAGTTCAGGCACGCTCTCCACTATTGGTAGGAGTCTTAGCTGGGGTCATACTTATAGATTCCTTGGAGTTTTCCTTGCACCAGGTTTCTCCCTAACCCCAAAATGGTCCCCTGTGTCAAGATATCTCTTTCATTACTCTTCTCCTCTGTCCCTATCCCAACTTGACAAACTCAATCTCTTATTTTCTCATCTCTCCATCTCCCAACCCACCCCCAGTTTACCCAGGAGATCTCATCTACTTTCCCTTCCCAGGGAAATCCATGCATCCTTCTTTGGGTCCTCCTTGCTACCTAGCTTCTCTGGGGCTGTGGATTGTAGTCTGGTGATCAAGATAAGGGAAACATAATAAAAAGGAAGACCACTGTGGTGGTTTGAATGAGAATGATCCCCATAACTCATGTTTGAATGTTTGCTCCCCATTTAGTGGAAACTGTTTGGGAAGGATGAGTAGGTGTGGCCTTGTTAGAGGAGGCGTGTCTCTGGGTGTGGGCTTTGAGGTTTCCAAAGCCCAACACCATTCCTCTTGGCTGACTACGTAAGATCTCAGCTACTACTCCACTGCCATGCTTGCTTGCTTGCCGCAATGCTCCCTGCCATGATGGGCATGATCTCAACCTCTGAAACTAGAAGCAAGCCCCCAATAAACCCTTTCTTCTCTAAGTTGTCTTAGTCATGCCATTTTATCATAGCAATAGAGAAGTCACTAAGACAGCCACCTACAGGAAGGGGCTCTGACGATAAGAACCAGAGCTCTGAAGTTCCTGCCATCACTAAGTATTTGTGTGCAGAAGAACTTGCAGAAAGGGGGGTAAACTCGTCTCATCCCAGCTCAGTCTTTTCCACCTAACACTTTGTCATTGGAACTTCCTCTGTGGGTTCACATGACCTTGACTGATACTCGTCTCAGAGACATACTTGGAACAGCACGCATATGTCATTTTCGTAGATAATTCGAAAGACAGGATGAGGCAAGGGTTGTTAGTGTCCTGTGAAAAGAAGAACAGAGCTTTGTATTTCCTATTGTTTGGCTACTAACCGGTTTCAAAGTACTAGACTCCGCGCTTCAATGTACCGGGAAAATAAAAAAGGGGTCGTGTCAAGGCAGCTTGCTGTTTCCTCCATCTGAGAGAATCTTGCTACACTCATCTCTCTTGGAGAATTTTGGCAGTGTTGCATCTATTTTTAACTGAAGGCAAAGTGCTGTAGAACTCAAACCAGATGTTGAGTTACACACAGAGTGTCTGTGTTACCAACATGTAGTGTGCAAGAGCTTGCAATGCTGAGACTCACAGTGTTTATGTGTCTGGCTGTAGGCTTGACTGTATCAGAACTGCTTTGTCTTGGACAATTCCAACTTGAGACCTTAAAAAGTCAAATTAATTACCAGCTAATGAAGAAAATGTGTTCTCAAGACACTCAACAGGATTCTCCCAAGGAAAGCTATTGATTAAAGAATTTATTTGTTCAGAGTGGCTAGGGATATGAGTGTGTAGACGTAAGTGTGTTTTTAAAGTGGAAGAGAGGGGGAAAGGACCATTAAGTTCCTGTTAACCTGTGTGTGCAATGTCCCAGTTTGTGTGACATACTCTGTAAATCTTATAAATGTGTATCATTATATATACATTAAAATTAACTGAAAAATGTCAAAAAAGTACCTGCTACCAATTATCTTAAGTTTCTCATTAATTTGGAGGTTCTGCATATAGAATCAATACCACTGTTATTTTTAAGGCATGAAATAATTTTGTGCTGCTGAACGTCAGGAAAATGCTATAATTTTTTATTCTTATCTTCTAGGTCTCTTCAATGATATAATCTTCTGTTAGGTATTTTAAAACTCAGGGCATGCAACTGCATTTTATACAACTATTCTGGTTAGTATCTTTAAAAATTTAAATACTTGGAACTGGAGAGCACACTCAGCAGTCCTTGTTGCTCTTTCAGAGGGCCCAGGCTTTCTTCCCAGAACCCACATGTCAACTTGCAACTGTCTGGATCCAGTTTCAGGGAGCCTAATAGCCTCTTTTGGCTTATTTTGGCACTAGGAACACATACGGTGTACACACACACACACACACACACACACACACACACACATTAAAAAAGACTAATATAAAAGAGAAATAAAATACTTATAAAATATGGAGAAATCAGGACAACACGGGACTGTCTCAGAATAAAATAGAAAGCCATAACGAATAGTCTGAGTTGATCGCAAAAAGAGTTTTTTGTTATTATATTCTTAGAAAGTAGCTCAACAGGATTCATTAAATTGTACTTTCAACAACTCCCAGAATTTGCCAATAATGTGTGGGCTCTTAAAGGCCCAGCTCGAAGGCCCCTCTTTCCTCATAGGTCTCTTGCTCTTCTGTGGCACATAGCTGATTTTATTCTGTAGACTTTGAAACTCTCACCTACTGGAATGTAAGTTTTGCAAGATCTCATCTGTCTAGCTCATCGGTATGGTCTCACACCAAGAACAGATGCCCAGAAAAGAATCATGCTCCCAATCACTGGCACGTGTCATTAAACTACTAACCCAGGTGTTCCTGGGTTTGTCTCCTAGGCAGTCCAGACAACACTCAAAACTGCAGTGGAGGGTATCCCTGCTGCTCCTGGGAGCCCTCTGGAATGAAAGAGTTTGATGGCCAATTATCTCATAACATAGGTAAGCCCCATCTAATAGACTCAAAGTTTTAAGAGAGAGAGAACAAAAGAACCAGGGTTCCTTCATGATTGCTGAATTCTGTTTCTAGACTGCTTTTAAACTCAACACAGTAATCTGAACTCCTCCTGGAAGTTCTATCTTGCCCTACTCTGCAGAATTTGGGCTTGTAGAACCCGTAGTCTCACAAGCCAATTAACACCCACCGTGCTCTCTCACACACACCCTATGGGTTTTGCTTCCCTGGAGAACCTTGACTACACGGGAAGGAGATAGGACAGCTTAGCATCAGTGCTGCCTTGTGTTCACTATGTCCTGTGCGTTACCACCTAGAGCAGAATCCAATTACATAGGCTATGTTGAAAAGAGAAGAAATGAACTCAAAAGCTCTTCTGCTCAATTTCATCTTACTCCAGAGCAAGGAGTTGGAAAGAGTAACGACAAACAAACACAGGACCAAACAGCAAAGGTCACAAAGCTCCTGACCTCACTGGTGAGGACGCATTAGCTGGCAGTGCTGTACCAACCAGCAGATGTTTCCCAAAAGACAAACACAAAGCCTATTGCTTCAAGGTAGATAATGGTTTAACCTCTGTGATGGACATTCTTGGCTCTCAACTGAACTACATCTGGAATGAACTAAAACCCAAGCAGCTGAGCATACCTGTGAGGGCTTTGGGCTGATTGGATCACTCAAAGTGAGAAGACCCACCTTAAATCTGTGCCACACCTTCTGCTGGCAGCCTATGGAAAGGACACAGAAGGACGCTCTTGCCCTTTGTCTGCTTGCCCTCACTCTCATTGGCAAGTTCATTCCTTCACTGGAATTAAAGCCTACTGCTTTGGGGCTCTGGCATATACAGAAGACCAGCTGAGAGATCCAGCAGTGGACTGAACAACTACCGAATTCTTAGACCTTCTGTTGGGATACAGTCATTGTTGGAATAGTCAGAACACACCCTATAACCCCTTTGAATAAATTGTGTATGTGTGTGTGTGTGTGTGTGTGTGTGTGTGTGTTTCTACCAGTTCTGTTTCTCAAGTGAACCCTGACTAATACAATCACAAAGGAAGAAAAACTCCATCATTGAAAAAGAGCATTTGAAAGCAAATGTTTAGAAATCATTTTGGTACTGAAATTTTCCTGGAAGTTACCTATAGGTTTGGGTAAGATGATGGATCAGAAGCCGTCTTAGTGTGACTTGATGAAGTGTGAAGGGTAAGACATGGCAGATTCTATAGAATAGAGAGAAAGACCATAGAAACTTTGGACATCCATGAAAGGGTTGCTGGGACACCCGAAAAGTACAGAGAAACTGAGGGGCAAAGCACCAGAACAGAAGAAAGTCAGCAAAAATGATTCCAGCTATACACTTTCTTTCCGGAGGAGACTGTTTGTTGTGGATAGGTGAAATGCAGGAGGAGTGTGCAGATGCGGAGGGTTTCTTGCAGTGTGACCTTGACATGTTAGCAGCACAGATTGCTTATAACTCTGCTGTTTATGCTCAGATATCTGCCGTAAAGCGTGGATAGCTTTACTTAATAAAGGTGCAGGGGAACAGCTGTCTAAGGTCCTTCAAGGACCCTCAGAACCGTATCCCGAGTTTGTTGACCACCTGTTACAGCTGGGAGGTTGCATTTTTGGGGATGTGGACACAGGTATGCCTGTCATAAAGCAATTGGCCTATGAAAATGCTAACAAATAGAGTCAGTAAGCTATATGTCCCCATAGAAATAGGAGTTTGAGTGACTATATCCATTTCTGTAGAGACATTTATGGCACTCTCATGATGGGACAAGTAATTGTTTCTGCCCTTAGGGGAGAGTCAAGGTGAAGCTAGGTTAAGGACTTATTTTCTCCCAGGACAACCAGGACAGACCAAAAGAAACTGCCCTGCAGGGAAAGGGATGGTTTATCAGTCCAGGGGAAATTTGCTTTCAATGTACTTGGAGATCTCAACTGGTCCAGCCCAGTTTGAAAATTCCTACTGCTGCCTTAAAATTTTTTCCTCTCTCAGCATAGTCCTGCTGGAGTTTTTTTGGCAGCAAGAACCCAAGAATGAAGACACATTCTTGGGTACATGAACATGTGTCACCTGTGAAAATTGTTACCTCATATCCATCTGCTGTGCTACGTGTTATTCAGACAGGGTATAAACTTAGTTTGTAAAACTTTGGAATGTTACCTGATAAGGTTATTACACCATATACCCAGGCAGAAATAATTTAGCTGCAAAATTTTGCTGAAGATAGGGCCTTGTTTTTTATGCACTAATCCCTGCAGGTTTGATAATTCTTACCTTTCTGATAAGTTGGTCATCTTTTTCAAAAATCATCCAGTATGCTTCCCTAAAGTTATTTCTTTTCATCCTCTGGCAGAGGCACAGAATGTGTTTACTGATGGGTCTTCCACCAGGAGAACCATGGTGGCCTCTCCTGATTTTGATATTCTTCCTGTTAATGCTAAATCTGCTCAGCTGACTGAATTGATCCCTGTACAAATGGCCCTAGAGAAATATGCTGATATTTTATTTAACCTTTTTACTGACACTCAATATGTAAGCAAAATCCTTGCACCTTTGGAAACTGCAGCTTATATTACCTCTGTATCTCAAGTTCAGATGCAGTTATTGGCTGTTCAAACATTGCTTTGGGTCTGACCCATTCCCATTTACGTAGGGCACTTGCGGGCTCATACATACCGACCGTCCTGGTCCCTTCAGTGAGGGAAATGTATTGACTGATCAGCTTACTCGCCAAATTTGTGCAGTGAATCAAGAATCTTATAAAGCTGCAGATAAAAATTCATAGTCATTTTCATCTCATTGCGGTGTCTTTAAGACTTTATTTTAATATATCTTGAGAGCAGGCCACTGATATTGTTTTAAAAAATGTTCTCTGTGTACAGAACGTTTAGCTGTTCCCCATTTGGGAGTTAATCCTTGTGGGCTTGCTCCTCATCATCTATGGCAAATGAATGTTACCCATGTTCCTTCTTTGGGGCGTATGCAATATGTTCACGTAACTGTAGACACATATTCTCATTTTTGCCTCAGCCCATACTGGAGAAAAATTATGGTATGTTAAAAGTCACTGTTTCCAGGCTTTTGCCTACGTGGGAATTCCAAAAACTGTAAAAACTGACAACGGGCCAGCATACACCAGCACTGGCTTTGCTAAATTTTGCTCTGAGTTCTCTATTTCTCATAAAATAGGAATACCTTATAATCCTCAAGGACAAGCTATAGTGGATATATATATATATATATATATATATCGCCCTTTGAACTCATGTATGGGTGGCTGGTTTTAATCCCTGGC